AGACACCTGAACCCCAAACTGGCCGCAAACCCTAATCTCTAAACCCTACGCCCTAAGCCCTAAGCCCCAGACACCTAAGCACCTGGACCCCAAAGAACCTGCCTTTTTAAGGTTCCCTATTATGATATTTTATTTAAGTCCTTAAACAGGTAGGTTATTTGGGGGTTAAAGCCTAAGCCCTAAGCTGCCAAGGACCCGAATCAGTTGTCCCATGGACGGACACCTTTGATGGCCGCCATTAGTACTGGCTCCATGCATGCTGCAGCTTTGCTGCTGGAGGCTGACGGGGCGGCTTAGAGTTCAGGGTTTAGGGCTCAGGGTTAGGGCTTAGAGTGTAGGGCTTTGGGTTTGGGGTTTTCAGTTTAGGGTTTAGACTGTTTGTCTTTCCGGGTGTTTGTCCAGCTTCGGATTTCCAAGAGGTGGAGGGCTTGGGTCATCGGCCCCGGGTATGTTAGAAGGATGCAAACTTATAGCAGGATTTAGGGTTTGGAGTATCTTTCTTAGGGCTCCTTAGTATATAATAGACCTGCTGTAGGCAAGGGGGACCCTGGCAGCCCTAGGAGTAGGAAGCCCTCACGAAGATCGCAGCCCTACCCGAAACCTTAAACTCGAACCCTGTTGCATCAGGGTTTAGGGTTTAGGGTGTAGGGTCAGTGAGATGACACTTTGTTTTTTTTTGAGACGGCTTGCTTGGGCCAGTGGTGGCATCCCGGCTTCCACATGAATCATGCGGGGAAGGGGGGGAGCTTTTCTGAAACCCCATATTCTAAAGCTACCTCAAACCTAAATCCTCAACACCTAGTGTAAATCCTCTGTTGAGATGAGGCGCAAGGACACAAGAGCCAAGCGATCTCCAGTCGGTCTAGGCAGCAAAACTTCCCAAGAAGGTCCATATATACAACTATTATGGCATAAGGTCCACCAAAGCTTTGATCAGAATGGTCTGTTGGGGCCTGATTGCATAAGGGTAGTATATATGGACCCTCTGGGTTCTGAATTTCCTTAAGACTATGAAAACATTCTTCTTCACCATCCGCAATGTCCTTACCATTACCACACATCATATCCACATGGTCCTGATTTGCCCAAGCTTGAATCCTGGCCATCTTAAACTCATCGGCGTGACATATCCGTACGATCCCAACCAAACCCCATGAAGATTGAGCTAGACCCCCCGGGGCTCCCTAAACAGAGTGCCAAAAAGCCATTGCTCAGGGTTGTGTTCTGTTGAAATCAGCGTCTGAACGAAGGCGATGGCAGACCCGGACATAAAAAGCTCGGCGGGCCATTCGGCGCTGCAGCTTGCGCGATCCGGCTGGGTGGTTATATAGATTCTGAAGAACCTTGTAGAATTAAAGGGGTTTGCCAGGGTTGGTGCTGCCGAGTCTTGATTGCAGGTTTGGCTTCAGAATGGTGGTAGGATATTTTGAACATGATGCTGATGGAGGAACGGCGTCCAGCTGGATGCTGAACATTGCCTTTTCAGTTAAACCCTACTCCTGACAGTTGCTCTGTCGCGCTGCCTTGTGTTGCGTTTATATACTTCCGAACTCTGTCGCCTCTTTCGCTTCCTCGAAACCTTTCCACTCTCTCCCTGGAACGCAAGAACCTCGAAATCACGGACCCTAAACCCCTAAACCCCAACCCCTAAACCCTAAAACCCTAAACCCCTAAACCCCTAAAGCCCTTAAGCCCTAAACCCTACTAAGAACCAGTCAGACTATAGCTAAGCCCCCAGAACCCCTTTCTGGGACGTCAGGAAGTGCCAGCTCCCTTATAAGCGAAAGTACCACCAGACCTTCCAGTTAGGTTTGGGGTTAGGGTTTAGGGCTTGGGGTTTAGGGTTTATGGCTTTAGGGTTTTAGGGCTTTAGGGTTTTAGGGTTTTGGTGTTTGGGGTTTAGGGTTTAGAGCAGCCTTCCAGTATCCCCTAATTGGGGAAGCTGCTTTCAATCACATTAGGGATCCTAGTACAAATGAAGGTATCGCCTTGAAATAGTGATCTGAGTGGGAGTTGTTTGAGGTGCGCTGAAGGCCAGTTGGAGATTGTGCGCCTACTGATCCAGGCTTGATGGGGGCTTCCCTTTGAGATGAAAGGGGTTGCATCGGAGTTCGGTTTCGTCTTTAGCTGCTTAGATGGGATAGGACCTTTGGACCATAACTTGTTGCTTTCCTTCATGCTTTGGGGTTTTAGAGTTTAGGGTTTAGGGTTATTGTAGGCTCTGACAAGATAGAGTTTGAACGGGGCCCTAAGTGGCATGCTAGCTTTACAGGTTGGTTGTTTTGTCATTTTGCTTCAGGTTCGAGTGTCCCCTAGTGTTTGTGATGCTTCCTTGGCGCGTTAAGGAGAGGTTTTCTGGCATGGTCTTGGAACTACCTTGAGAGCCCCCAGGTAGTTCCTTTTTCGGTTTAACCAACTTTATATTTAGGATCCCGTAACGGTAGCCCCTAAAATCCCAAAGTACAATACAGTGGAGACAGTGGAGACGGTATGCAGATATGATGAGACTCTGGTGGGTATAGAGTGGTTTTGTGTTTTGGACCCAGGAAAGCCCGCATCCTAAATCGTAACAGAAACCATACATAAGCTGAAAACTGAACTGCCGACTATAGGAGCGGAATAATCATTTATTCATATTTCTGACTTAATTGTACCGTTTTAATATGGTATAATGATGCCCCCACACCCTTCTAGTTCAATATGGCGCCTAAAGGGGAGAACTTCTACTGACATTATTTTTAGCTCCCTTTGAAGGAGCCCTTAAACCAACCCGTCCTCTGATCTAGTACGGCCCTGCTTGAAGCTTCCCCACGCCCTCCGGGCTTCACGCCGTAATCGCAAGCCTTAACCCTAAGGCTCTAAGGACTCATATTTTAAGGCTTTTGGGCCCAAAGACCATAATTACTATATAAGGCTTTTGAGCTATTTTGAGCCTTAGGGTGGCTGGTGTAGGGGCCTCGGATCAAAGAACGGAATTAAATGCTGTTGCTGAATGTTTAGTGCAGGGGTCCTTCAGATGGTCAAAGAAGTTGTGGTATGTTACAGCACAGCGCAACGCAAAATCCAATCCTGCTGATTGCGCTCCGATTCAAGTCCGAAATGTTGAACTCACCTAAATCCTACACTCCAAGCATCTCTAAACCCTATAAACCTTACACCCTAAACCCTGTAAGCCCCAACAACCCTAAGCCCTAGTCAAGTCCGATATCTTGAACTCAATTCTCTCCTCAGCTGCTGTATCCTTTGAGACCGCCAACTCCAAAGCTCTTTTCCCAGCACGGAATGATAGGGTGGCTTCCCCGTTCAGTCGTACCGTAGTTAAGCAGCTGATTTTGTACTTCTTAGGTTTTATCAGGTCTTAAGATGAATTCAGCGACTGATTTTAATTTTTAGGTCTCCGAAGGTCTTAAGATGAATTAGGCAAGCTGGCTTAAGTCCGTCCGTGGCTTTGAGGGTGTGGGGTCGATTTGGTGTTGTGAGTAGGTGGCAAGTGACCCCCTAAGACAAGTGAAGCACCTGAGCCCCACTGTTTCAGGGTGTAGGGTTTTAGGTTGGGTACTGCCCCGACCCGCCTCCCCCCCCCCTCCCCCCCATACAGTACCAGTCGATAATAAGGATATTAAGGGCCTCATATATCCATATTATGAAGATTGCTCCACTGTTACTGAGTTGGGGGCCGTATTCAAGTTTTAGGCTTTGAGGTCGCAGGGCTCAGGGTTTCATGACCTGTCAGCCCTACCTGAACCCCCACATAGCCCACGTTTTTTGCGGGATTTCCTTATCATGACTTCCTTAGAGAAGTCCTTTCCTTTAAAAGGTAGGTTATCTGGGCTGATGCTATGGCATATCATACAGCTTCCTTCCCTTCCCCAGTAAAAAAAGCCCGTAAAGCAACCTCCGATCCGAATCTCTCCAAGCCCCAAAGTCTCGCCCACACGGTCCACACGGTCCCTACCGTTGATGATACAAATCCTTAGCATTGCCTTAAGGACACCCTAAAAAAATGAGGATGATGGTCTATTCCTTCTTATGGGTGCCTCAGGATTTGTATCATCAGCCGTAGTTTAGGGTTTAATTAAGGTTTAAGGTTTTACCATGATGGAATCCGGTCCCGAAACCCATGGTCTTGTGGGACCGAATTCCAATACTGTAGTATATATTGGGACCCTCGGGGCAAATAATTGCAAGCCCTCAACTTTCCTTTAATCTTGAAACCCTAAAGGGCCATGTGCCCATAATTTATATACTTTGGCCTTCAAGTAGTCCCTGTGCAGATACTTTAGGGCCAAAGTGTATACTATTTAGGCACATGGACCCGCATTGAACCAAAAACCTCAACCCAGAACATGCGCACGCGCTCACGCACACACACACACACACGCACAGACACCCACAAATGTCATCCCAACATCAGGCTGGTGCCAAAGAGCACCAAAGCAGCCGATCATCGATCTTATCTGAAGCGGCCGTGCACCTCGGTGCTGTTTCTTAGGAACATTTCATAAATTCGGGTCCCGTGTTGGTCTCCAACATAGTACGGCACCCTTGTAAAACAGGACTCAACAAAGTGGACCTGACTTAGGGAACCACCCATATCGGGACTTTATCGGAAACCTAAACCCTAAACCGGGGTATGCAGTACCCCTAAGGGCTCTGCTTTGTCTGTTCCACTGGTCTGGTCGTGGTCGAGGTGGTGCAGGACCCAAAGGGTCCTAGGCACTGTTATGGGGTATACTTTGCCCACATCATAATAGTCTTTCCTAGTAGTTGTCATATGATAGAAATAGTCATCCTTACTATTGGGTAATGCAGGATTTATATCATCAACCGTGTCGCTACTCTTGCACAGCACCTTCAGGACCCAACGTCCCGGAGCTACTGTTGAGCCTTTAAGAAAGAGTTTCCCCTTAATCATGCGTTTACTACACGTCCCCGAACCCATTCTAACTGTCAATGCCCCCTATCTCCGCGGTATGTCACAGAGGCGGGGCGACCTGGAAATGGTGCGTGTCTTGCTGGAGAATCAAGCGTATGTGCGTTCCGGCAGCTTTGATGCTTTGCAGCTGGCAGTTGAGATTCTTGGCTGTTGATTCCGGCAACCTCCAATCTTTGCCGATAGCATCCGCCCCTACGCCCTTTGAAACCCAAAGGTTACATACGCACATTTCCGCATACGTAAGGAATGGCTTTGCTGACATCGTCGAGCTGCTTCTAGCCTTTCAGGCTGACACAGAGTCGACAGAGACGGCCTTTCGCCGAACATGTCTACACATCGCTGCCGCAAGGGGATTTCTGGATGTTGCGAGACTGCTGCTCCAGGCGAAGGCAGACAAGGATCGGACAGATAAGAATGGAAACAGCGCGCTGGCCTTGGCAGCAGGCGAAGGTCAAGCTGAGGTCGTTTCTTTGCTGCTGAAGGCCGCTGCTGCAAAGGACAACACCAACGTGGAAGGGCAGACACCGCTCTTCCGCGCTTGCATGCAAGGCCAAGATGATGTTGCAGGCATGCTGCTTCATGCAGGTGCCGACCGAGACAAAAGTGATCTTGCAGGAGACACGCCCCTGATCATTGCCTGTAAGTGGAACAACATGGACATAGTACGCCTTCTACTGGCCGCTAGGGCAAGCGCAGACGTGCCCAACCGGGCTGGCCAGACGCCCCTTATCGTCGCATCGATGCGCGATCACCGATGTATTTCGCATCTTTTGCTGCTGTCGAACGCGGACGCCGACAACGGTGACTTCGTAGCGGAGTGCTTTAACCTTAACCCTTTTTTCGGTGGTACCAGAACTGCTGTATACTCCCAAAGGTGCATCTCTAGAATCGCCCTAGAAAAATTGGACTAAACCCTAAACCCCAAACCCCTAAACCCTAAACCCCTAAACCCTAAACCCTAAACCCTTTCAGGCGATAATGATGGCCTTACGCCCCTAATCCTCGCAGCGGAAGCCGGCCACGTGCAGATTGCACAGATGTTGCTGCAGTTCCTAGGTTCCCCAGCAGTGGGGTTTAGGGTTTTAGGGTTTAGGGTTTGGGGTTTAGGCTCCCTTTAGCCCTTCTTATTTGGGGGTCTCCTTATTAAAGCCGAATATTCGCAAAAAGGGAACCCTTACTATTAAGGGGTTACTGGGAACCCAGGTTCAAGGCAGACATCAACAAGGCCAACCATGCCAAGCAAAGCCCTCTGTGTCTGGGCTGCAACATAGGAGTTTCCGAAAAGAAGGGGGGGGGGGTACCTTATTTTGGGGTCCTTATAATAATGAGGATCCTACTATTTGGGGTACTATAATAGGCCCCCACATGAAGGTTCAGAATCTGCAACATGTTCAGTTTTTGTTGGGAGCATTTGGTCATGTTCCTGTGAATATGTACATGTACGTACAGATAGTGGTATAGATTCAGATACAGATTTGGATATAGTTGCAGATTCAGGCATAGACATAGATACAGGAACTAAACATTTTTTGGATGGATAGAAATCTGGTACAGTGTAGTTACAGACATTGATAGAGTCTGTGCACTTATGTGTGTTTGTGTGAATGTATATGCGAGTATGTAGTTCAGACGTGTAGGTGTTGGCTGGAATGCGTGTCACCTTTCTTTTGGTAGATATGATATGTTTACCCACTACACGTGTGCATGCGTGTATGTTCATATATGCAAAGATGTATATATATATATGTATATATATATATGTCTGTATACACATGTGTATCATATATAAGTTATGTGTATTTAAAGCTTAATATGAAATGTGTGAAGCTCGTAGCTACACATCCCGAAATGCTTGACAAATCTGCTTTCCGCGAACGATTGCATGTTGAGTGTCTGGTATCCCCTAGAGTTCTATAAACTCGGACACCCAAAACCCTAGACCCTAAATTAGGGTTTAGGGCTTAAGGTTTAGGGTTTAGGGTGGAGCCCCTAGCCCTAAACGCCTATGTCCGAGATTCGCTGCCTCAGCGGGCGGGTGCTTGGAAATGTGCCGCTTGCTCTTGGACTCTGGCGCAGACCCAGGCAAGCCGGACCTGAAAGGCACAACACCTTTAGCTGTGGCTTCCGATGCTTGGTCCCATCCTCTTAGTTTCCCTTCAGGGTTCCATTTAAAGGGATCTACTAGGGCCTTTAGGGTCAAGGCTCTAGCGGTGTCTGCCGATGCATGCGCCTAACATGTTGGCTCAAGGTTTAGGGTTTACAGGGCTTAGCGCCTAGGGTTGTGCATGACCTTTGACAGAAGTGCTTACGGTCTCTAGGGTTGAGGGCTTCGGTCTGTTCTTTGTTTTTTGTTACGGTACTTGGTTATCACAATGTTGCTATCATCAGATTCCATCTTCAGTAGCTAAGCTACCGAGATCCGTGTCTGCGATTTGATGTTGTTTAAGGTTATGGGTGCCTGGGTTTAGCGCGCACGGCCAAGCTCCAAGGAACAAGATCATCGCAGAGTGGCCCGCTGTTCGTGAGAAGGCGAGGTTGTAGCAGAGCCAACATCGAAGCAGGCGAGGATGTGTCATAGGTGCTGGAAGAATTCTGTAAGTAGTGCAAACCGGCATCCTCTATGAACCGTAACCGTTGCAGCGCAAGCCCTAATCATCCTTAATCCGTACAGCTGTACAGGAAGCTAGCGAAGTACTCGTGGTAAGAGGCCCAAGGGACTTGCTGACTAGGTGGGTTGTAAGTACAGGTATAATACTCCCTAAACCCTAAGACAGTAAGATATCCCCAAAGGTTGGTGGTACGTACATTCCTACTTATAGCCTGTTGGTATGCACGGTACAAGTCCCTAAGCCCCCGAAAGGCCGACGCTTTTGACTTTTAACCCATGTAGGCTATGTACTCCCTCGAGGATGACCTGCACCATAAAGGGGTTTCATAGGGGCTCATACGGTTGGTGATATAAATCCTGCATTACCCATAATAAAGAATATACCACAATTCCCATAGTTTAGGGCCCTTCAGGTAATGCAGGATTTATATCATCAACCGTAGTACAGGCGTATGGGGTCGCTGCTCTACTTGTCTCCAAGGTCAGCACCCCTGGTCCTCTAGGAAGGGCATGGGGATTCGTCAACTGGGTTCTTGTTGAGGAACTTGGTTTAAGTTAGCACAACAGGGAAGTCTAACAAAAATAGGGTTTCCTGATTACACTCCTGAACAAGAAACCCAGTCTAGTTCTAAACACTTCGGACCCTCATTGTACCCTCAAGCAGGGGTAGATGGTCCCTAATCGTAGGCAGGGAAGGTCTAATACAGGGTAGAAATACCCTAAACCCTAAACCCTAATCCCTAAACCCTAAACCGACGTATGTACCTGAAACGACATAGGGGCAGGGTATGACCCTACAGGTCTTGTCAGGCCACGACCCTAAAAAACCTGGCGTTTTTGCAGGATGTGTATAAGGAGCCCTAAAAAAAGGGTTTATATAGGGTATAAGGAGCCCCAAAAAAGGGGTGTTTAAGGGAGTTAG